AAGATATGAAGGTAGTGGCAGATTTTACTTTCTTGGGCTCCATGATCACTGCAGATGGTGCCACGAAATTAAAAGACACCTGCTTCTTGGGAGGAAAGCGATGACAAACCTTGACAGCATCTTAAAAAGCAGAGACATCAACTTGCCAACAAAAGTTCGCATAGTCAAAGCTATGTTTTTTCCTGTAGTGATGTATGGAAGTGAGAGTTGGACCATAAAGAAAGCTGACCACCAAAGAATTGATGCTTTTGAATTGTGGTGTTGGAGGCTTTTGAGAGTCCCCTGGACTGCAAGGAGAACAAACCTATCCATTCTAAAGGAAATCAACCCTGAGTGCTCACTGGATGGACAGACATATGTATGAACTGGCCCTCAATCTGACTCTAGCTGTGCATGGATAGGAGTGTCTTTGACCTGACTTTAAAGTTTGAAAACTTTGTGGATTCAGAGAATGGAGGTCTTCTTTTCTTCTTTCTATCTTAATGACAAAGTCTTCTTCTCTTAGCTGATTTGACATTAGTAGCTGCTGGTACTTCTGTAATTTTTAAAATATGAAATGTTATCAATGTGACAAACACAAGGTGATGATGATTCATAAATCTTGTGCAACAGACCAGGCCAGGAAATAGGCGACATTGTTCCTTCATCAGTCTTAGAATGGAATAGCGAATAATAACTTGGGAAGAGGATGCACATAACATTGATGCCTACATGAACATAGGTTCTGCAATGCAAAAGTCAAAGACAATCAGACACCCTTATTCAGGCAATTTGACTTATTTCACAAAGGTTCAAACAAAACCACAGTAGACATACTTTGCCAGGAGAAAGACCTGCACACAAATCTGAAAGTGATTTGAAACTAGAAAGTTTTGCAATATGTATCCATACCTTTCCTTCCCCTCTCTAAATCCAAATGTGTTGTGCCTCTATGATGTATCTAAAAGAACATTTGGCCTGAATACTCCATTAAAGAAAACCACTGTGGTACAGTGGATACTGTATAGTGACAGACTAGAACTTTTTGTTTGGACTGTCCTCACTTATCAGTACTCCTGTGAACTCCTCATGCAGAAGATCTGTGATTGGATCTCCCTACATATTTTTATTCCCATAGCAGCAATTGCAGGCCAGAGTATGGATTTGGATTGTAGAAGGAAAAGTCTCATTCCTTCTCTATGAGCTATAGCTCCAATCTAAACAGCTCATTGCAACCATTAGGTAATAGCAACTAGTAATAGCTTCAGAGAAGGACTGGGGCCATGACAATGGGAAGAAAGGTTAAGAGCACACATGCAAACACACAATACTGTGTGAATCAGCATGCAACTGATGATGTGTACACCGATTTCTTAACTTGAGGCAATTTGCTTCCAAAATTTATGACATTTGAGTAGTTACAAAAGAGGATTTTGGTCAATGTGTCAGCGTCCTTAAGGAATCAATTAAAAGAGTCAACATCCTTAAAAATTATTGGGAGGGTAAAAGAGGCAAAAATCGCAAAATGTTATATATACAGAAATTGTTATGGAGATGACAATAAATATGGACTGCTTCTCTTACTCTACAGTATTTGTAGAGCTGCCTGCATTCAAAATACCTTACTAATCTGAATCCATATGGTAGCCTCACCTAGACTAGACTCACAAAATCAGTGGGCTTTATTTAAATGTTGACTCACCTTTCAGCAATCAATTTGATGGATCTTTTTTGGACTAACAATTGGAGTTCAGCCATTTTCTTTTGTTGTCATATGTGAAAATATAGGCAACAGTTACTTGGCGACTCCAGCCTCAATAGGTATCTACAAACAACAAATCTTTCCCTGCGCTGTTAGGATTGTTAGAATGCAGTTGCTTGGAACACACTGCTCTCTTGAACAAACAATTATCCATGTATTAAAAAAACACTGATCAGGGATGTCTTAGACAAAAAAAGCTGGGTAAATACTAGGAGGCTGGTATGTGGTTGATTTCTAAGCCGTGTTTTTGCCCCTCAGTCTTCTGAAAGGAAGAGGTGCATCATCCTACTTCATTTGCACACTAACACTCAAAATTATGCTTAGATACTTATTGAGTGGAGTTCTAGTATTTCCACCCAAATACAACCATTTAGCTCTTACACACCTTGTTCTCTCCATTTCCTTAAAGGATATTTACCCCTGCCCCCCAGGAGAATGCAGCTGGTCCACTTAAGAAGGGAAGAGGCACAAATAAAAAAAGACACAGACAAAACTATGTAATTGTCTGAAAGATCATTTCCTGGTTTACATCCAATTCAAATATTTGCTGGCTCAAACATCTGAAGGCATTTTTAAAAAATTCTAGATATACGTATTTTTACCTGGATATCTGCCATTTTATAGTATGGTGTGTGTGTCATGTGTTATAGAGACTCTAATGATGTTGGGAAGGTAAAGTAAGATATTTAAACAGTGGTTTTAGCAGGGATGTTGGCAAGTTCAAGTCCCAAGTACTGTACGAGTCTTTGGTACCAAGTCTCGAGTTCCAAGCTCCAAATCCCTATTAAAAACTGGTATCTTCCTGCAGAAAAAAGGGAGGGGTGGGTGCGTTCGGAGACAAGTCCAAGTCACTGAAAATAAAAATCCTGAGTCTTTGGTACCAAGTCTCAAGTTCCAAGCTCCAAATCCCTATTTAAAACTGGTATTTTCCTGCAGAAAAAAAAGGGAGAGGTGGGTGCGTTCCGAGACAAGTCCAAGTCATTGAAAATAAAAACCCTGAGTTGAGTCAGTTGTGTGACTTAAGTCCAACTTGACACTGAGTCCCCATCCCTGGGTTTTACCAACTTCACACACACCTCACCACTGAATTTCCATGAGAGAGCAAGAATCTGAATCTTGATCTCCTGAATTGGACCATCACTATCCACTATATCACTCTAAGTACTGTATAGTAGGTTTCCCCTGGATTTTGGGTGACCTTTCAGTATGTTTAATCAGTTATTATCAAGAGTCTGTTCTTCAGTGTCCAACTTTTTATCCTACATGCCTGGGTTTGGGATAACAATTTGCACTAGAAGAAACTCTTCACAGTAATACCTCAGCTGACCACAAGAAGCAACTCCACAAGCCTGAATTCGCAAACAGATTGCCATGTGGGAACTGATCGGAACTTCCATCACGATGCAAAGTTTTGCAGAAACTAACATTCCTACTTCTTCCACTCCGCCTCACAATTTAAAGTGGTTTCATTCTCAGCCTATAAATACTTCCAGTGTAAACCAGTAAATTAATAACAATTTAGATTTTCTTTGCACTGGATTCAGCAACAATGTGATTTTTTAAAAAATCGAATGGCTCCTTAGGGTTCCCGAGTTGCTTCGCAGTCGGACATCATCACGCTAAAAATCACCAGCCTATTCTTCCCAAGGAAGAGACTAAACTTTCACTCTTGGTTATGGTTTCATCGCGACTCCATGGGAGGCAGTTGGTGTAATCAGATTATGTCTGCTCTGCTTATTTGCACTCCATCCCGCCCTCTCCCTCGGTTTAGCCCATTAATTGTCAGCTTTAAAACGTTCTTGGCATGTAGTACACATGCGCAAAACGCCTCGTCCCGCCCCGCCCGCCGAGCTCGCTTTTCTCGCGCGTTCTCTCTTTCTCCTCCCTCCGCCTTTCTCCGGGCTACTGACGTATAAGCCCCGCCTTCCCATTGGACGGTTCCTTCTTCCGCGGCTGCTGGCGCGCGGTGCCAGTCAACTGAGAGGAATATGTTTGTCCCTTTGAGGTGGCTGCGGGAATCTCCCCGTCATTTGCTGGTGTGCGAGAGAGGCCACGCGAGGCACGAGCGATCCCGCCACGCGGCGCATGTGCGGGACCACGCTTTCAATTGCCGGGTGAGTGCGAGGGAGGGGGCGTGGCTGCCGGGATAGTCCGCGAGATCGAGGCTGGGTGGGCAGGTTAGGGATGCCCTCGCGGGGAGTGGAGTCGCCACTCCACTGGAAACCGGTGGGACGCGGGAGTCAAGGCTTTATTATTGGCTATCTCGTCAGCGGAGCTGGGGAAAATGATTCCAGTTCCCAGAATCCCCAGCTTCTTTTTTACAAACATAATTGGTTGAAGTAATGAAACCAAAGTGAACAAAACATAGATTACCCAGCGGCAACATTATTCCGCAACATTATCGCAAAATCATACTGTCAACAAATACAGACGTGTAATTAGGGGCTTGAGGTAGCCTATATTGTACACTTGATGGCTTCCACTCCTCACAGATACAGTACATCTGTTTTCCAAAAATCAGAGCACACAGTTTTACACATGATTGGTGCACACAGGTCCACACATAAACCAGAGCTAGGGAGAAGTTTTTTTCCTGGACTACAGTGGCCACTGCTGATTATGATATTCTAGCAGTTGTCTAGAATATCATAAATGGCTGCCCTTCATTTTTGTAGCACACTCGTCCCAAGAGTGCTATAACCGTTGTTGTGGGTTTTTCGGGCTCTTTGGCCATGTTCTGAAGGTTGTTCTTCCTGACGTTTCGCCAGTCTCTGTGGCTGGCATCTTCAGAGGACAGGAGTAGGAACTTTGTCCATGCTAAGTTCCTACTCCAGTCCTCTGAAGATGCCGGCCACAGAGACTGGCGAAACGTCAGGAAGAACATGGCCAAAGAGCCCGAAAAACCCACAACCATTAGATCCTGGCCATGAAAGCCTTCGCGTATACAGTGCTATAATCATTGAAATGTTTTTAATGGTTGGTTGGATTAATATTTGCAGCTCTTCTGAAGGTTGCACAGAGTCACAGTACTTAGTTTAACTATAAGAATCAAACTCAGTGCTGTAGGTAGCTTGTCATTAGAAGCTGACATCCGCTACTGACCCTAAAAGACATTGCACAAAATGTTTGTGGGGCAGTAGTATCAACAGGTATCTGTGTTAAAGCTAAATAGGGAATAAATAAGGTTTTTTCACAAGTGGTCTTCCTATGCCCATGTTGTTTTTGGTATGCTTTTCCTGCAGAAAGGAATCACAGTAATAATGTGCTGATTACATAATTTACAAATATCTTCTGTGTTATACAGTAGTTGTGTTGTTCCTTCCCTTCAGCCTTTCTCAGAAATTTGCACCATGTGATTTCATTTCATCACCCATCCTCTATTCCTCTCTGCGCATAGATGAGAGAGAAATCTATCTTGCAATTTCTTTTTAATCAATTATTCCTGGTGTAGATGTTTGAATAGATAGGTTTTCTATGCCACAGTCGTATTGCATTGGTTGAATTCTTTATCAGTCCTTAGAGCTACTTCAAAGACACATCGACTTTTGCCACTGCTTAGAGAATCAAAGGTGTATGGAAAATTATATCCCTCCCTTTCTCCCTGGGAAAGAACATTACAGCTCCAGGCAGTCACTAGAGGAATCAAGCCCATCTCAAAAATCTTAGAAGAAGCTTGCTTCCTGCCAGAAGGAGTGCTTTGCTTGAACTGCTGGTTGCTCTGTTGCTGCAGAAGCAAAACAGGTAGAAATAATATAAATATTAGGCTACAATTATTGTTAAAAGTGTTAGTTTAAGCATTCCCTCTCCAGAGAAAGCATGTCACTTCATTCTTGCATTTTCAAAATGGGTACTAAGCCTATGCCTCCCTTCCCAAAAAAAGTATCTGGTATATGTTGTTTACTTGTTTAGTTGTGTCTGACTCTTCGTGACCCCATGGACCAGAGAACACCAGGCCCCCCCTGTCTTCCGCTTCGTCCCGGAGTTCGGTCAAATTCATGTTGGTTGCTTTGATGACACTGTCCAACCATCTCGTCCTCTGTTGTCCCCTTCTCCTCTTGCCTTCACACTTTCCCAACATCAGGGTCTGGTATATAGCCCAATATTATTCCTATTTGTTTGTTGTTGAGTTGTGTCCGACTCTTTGTGACGTCATGGACCAGAGTATGCCAGGCCCTCCTGTCTTCCACTGCCTCCCAGAGTTTGATCGAATTCATGTTGGTCGCTTCGATGACCCTGTACAACCATCTCTTCCTCTGTCGTCCCCTTCTCCTCTTGCCTTCACCCAACATTAGGGGCTTTTCCAGGGACTCTTCTCATATAGGAGAAACTTCCAGGGAGTTTATTCCTATAGATACCCCAATTTGCCACTTACTTAGAATTGCCAAGCATTTATCCAATTTCCTGGGGACTTCAGTTATAGTGTAATAGCATCAGGGGTCCCAAGAGTGAAAAACATTGCTCTGTAAATATGAAATTAGCCACTGTCAATTACACTTTCCTAAGGTAACAATACAGCAAGCTCTGACTAAAGTTACAGGCTTGAGAAAACCTCACCTCGGACATCTTGCCGCCACACTCAATGATGACTAATTTGTGTTGAACTTTGATTAGTTCAAAAGCATTGCAAAGAAATACGGGAGTCAGTCTTCCATAGATAAGTTTGAAAAACAGTGATATTTTGAGGAAACTCATAATCTTCCAGGCTCTGCAAAAGGAAGCTGGGATGATTTGCATGGCTGCTCCCCAGCAGCCTTCCTAAGCTTGAGAAGAAAGTCCACCCAGTTGCTTAAGGAAGTTAGGCAGGGTTTGCTATGGGTAACTAGAAAAACAAACACAAAATGGGACTATTAATAATATGAAGAGAAAAAAAGGACAACACTTTGTTGTTGTTGTTGTTTTGTTACAGAAGCTGTAAAGGCCTTCTGTTGAACTGGCAAACACAGAAACTTAATCTGAGTGCAGGTTCTTCCAGCTAGTTTAGTAGTACAGCTTCTACAATATGGTAAAGAGACTCTATTTGTAGCAATACAAGCAGAATTCTTCTTCCCTGGTTTTTAATGCACGAGGGATGCACCTTGAGAGTAAGGAAAGTCTGTGAGTGCTGGACTTTGATTCATAACACTTGGGTTCATTTCCCTGTTCAGTAATAAAACTCACTAGTTGACCCAAATCATGGTTAGTATATTTTCTTTTTAGATTTAGTGTGGTTTGGGACAAAAGAAAAGATAGAATCATGTTACTCTCCTTTTTTGGAAAACATTGGGATCAGGCACACTAAATAAAATAAAATGAAAGCGTTTGTCAAGAAACTAAAGGATAATTTCTAAGTGTTCACTAAAGAGTAAACACTGACGTACAGTTTGGGATATTATTTTGTATTGAAACACTTTTGTTTGACACTAATGTTCTCTTAACAAGCTTTCTGAGAGATTATTTTGAGGTCATTTGTATTAATGACCAAAATACCTAATTACATCTCTCTAATTTTCTCTGAATAGGTGTCCTTTTTGATCCCAGATTGTGGAATAGTTCCAGAAGCACTAAAGACCGCAGTAGCAAATGTTGGAGAGTACTATCTGGTGAAGAATTTGTCTCTTCATGAATTAGTTTCACAGGAATTTATTAACACATTTGTGAAGAAAGGTAAGAGACAATTGAAGTATAGAGGTGTGTGTAAGAGACAATCCACTGGCTAATAAGGTTTAGTGATAAAGTATTTTAGGGGGATTTTCCAGAAGCACTAAAGACCGCAGTAGCAAATGTTGGAGAGTACTATCTGGTGAAGAATTTGTCTCTTCATGAATTAGTTTCACAGGAATTTATTAACACATTTGTGAAGAAAGGTAAGAGACAATTGAAGTATAGAGGTGTGTGTAAGAGACAATCCACTGGCTAATAAGGTTTAGTGATAAAGTATTTTAAGGGGATTTGGCAAGGGATGTGGTGGTGCTGTGGGTTAAACTGCAGAAGCCTCTGCTGCAAGGTCAGAAGGCCAGCAGTCGTTAAGATCAAATCCACGCGACAGTGTGAGCTCCTGTCGCTTGTCCCAGCCAACCTGGCAGTTCGAAAGCATGTAAAAATGTGAGTACATAAATAGGTACCACTTCGGTGGGAAGGTAATGGCATTCTGTGTCCAGTCGCGCGGAAGCTGTCTTCGGACAAAAAGCTGGCTCTATGGCTTGGAAATGGGGATGAGCACCACCCCCTAGAGTCGGACATGACTGGGCTAAATGTCAAGGGGAACCTATACCTTTTATTTTAAGGAGAAAACACTTTGGATTTACTTATTATTGACTGGTTTACTTTATTTATATCCCACTTTTCTTCTAATAAAGGAACACAGAAATACTTGGGTCTCAATGGATTTTGGATGAGAAGTACTAGCATATACTAGAGAATCTGATAATTATGTGCCATTTTACTGATTGTTTTTGCTTTATCACATTTACTGTTTTAGGGTTTTCAGATTTCATATGTAAACACTTATGATAATAGACAAATAACTGTTCAGAAAAAACAACATATTCCAAGAAGTATGGCAGAAATGTTTTGTGTGTGTTAATATTGGGGGCATGCCCTTGGCCAATCAGAAGTTAATTTTCTGGATTCATATTCATTAAAGTTGAAAATCTGCATTGTGAAGCCTAGAAAAATTCAATGAAGAACAATTTTTCAAAATTTACTAAGGTCTTTTGTCTCTCTCAGATAAAAAGTTAGATATTTCATCTCCTCCCTCATTACAGTGTATAGTTTAACTACATGCATGACCGTATACGTTCTTGAACTTCAAAAAATTCACAGTTCTGTTTTGAAATTATGCAAGTAGAGTGGTGCCTTGCTTAACGATTACCTTATTAAATGACAAAACCACTTGACAATGAAGTTTTTTGCGATCGCAAAATGATGTTCTAATAGGGAAAATTTGCTTAACGATGACCGGTTCCCTGTAAAAATTTGCTTAACGATGATCGATTCCCTGTATCGGGAACCAATTTTTCGCTAGACGATTTTAAAACAGCTGATCGGCGGCTCTAAAATGGCCGCCCGCTGTGATTTAGGACGGATTCCTCGCTTTACAGGCACCGAAAATGGCCGCCCCATGGAGGATCTTCGCTGGATGCTGAGGTATTTAGCCCATTGGAACGCATTGAACCGGTTTTCAATGCATTTCAATGGGCTTTTCCGTTTCACTTGATGAGGTTTTCGCTTAACAGCGATTTCAATGGAACAAATTATCCTCGTCAAGCAAGGCACCACTGTAATGAAAAAGGAAAATCTATTATACTAGATGAGCCTGAGTCTGTAGAGAGTTTCTGATAAGTTGTTTTAACTAATTCCGAACAAAGTAACATACTGAAATTAAGAACATAAGAAGAGCCCTGCTGGATCAGGCCAAGGGCCAATCTAGTCCAGCTTCCTGTATCTCACAGGGGCCCCACCAGATGATGCTTCTGGGAGCATACGGTCTCCTGATCCCTCTCCCCTGCATCTGGCATTTGGAGGTACCTTCCTTTTATGCCTGGAGATTATACATCCTCATCATGGCTTGTAACCTGCGATGGGCTTTTCTTCCAGAAATCTCTCCAGTCCCCTTTTAATTGCATCTAGGCCAGATGCTATCACCACATTCTGTGACAAGGAGTTCCATAGACTAACAACATGCTGGATAAAGAAATATTTTCTTTTGTCTGTTCTCACTCTCCCAACTCTCAGTTGGAGAGGATGTCCCCTGGTTCTGGTATTGTGTGAGAGGGAAAAGAGCTTCCCTCTATCCACTTTATCCATCCCCTGCATAATTTTATACATCTCAATCATGTCTCCTTTCAAGCGCCTTTTCTCTAGACTAAAGAGCCCCAAATGCTGTAGCCTTTCCTCATAAGGGAGGTGTCCTAGCCCAGTCATCATTTTAGTCACTCTCTTCTGCACCTTTTCCAGTTCTACTGTGTCTTTTTTGAGGTGAGGCGACCAGAACTGTACGCAATACTCCAGATGCGGCCTTACCGGCATTTTGTACAACAGCATTATAATGTTGGCTGTTTTATGTTCAGTCCCCTTTTTAATGATACCTAGCATGGAATTGGCCTTCTTCAGTGCTGCCACACACTGAGTTGACACTTTCATCAAGCTGCCCACCAGCACACCAAGATCTCTTTCCTGATTTGTCACTGACAGCTCAGAACCCATCGGCTGACAACTAAAGTTTTGATTCTCCCCCCCCCCATGTGCATTACTTCACATTTTCTTATAATGAAACACATTTGCCATTTTGCCACCCATTCTCCCAGTTTGGAGAGAGCCTTCTGGAGCTCTTCACAATCCCTTCTGGTCTTCATTATCTGGAAAAGTTTTGTGTCATCTGCAAACTCGGCCACCTCACTGCTTATCCCTGTCTCCAGGTCATTTATGAACAGGTTGAAAAGCACCGGTCCCAGGCCAGATCCCTGGGCCACACCGCTTTTCACCTCTCTCCAATGTGAAAATTACCCATTGACACCTACTCTCTGTTTCCTGGTTCTCAACCAATTCTCAGTCCGTAAGAGGACCTGCCCTCTTGTCCCCTGAGTGTGGAGTTTTCTCAGCAGCCTTTGGTGAGGGACTGCATCAAATGCCTTCTGAAAATCCAGATAGACAACATCTGCTGGTTCGCTTGTGCCCACATGCCTTTTCAAAGAATTCTAAAAGGTTTGTCAGGCAAGACTTGCCCTTATAGAAACCATGCTGATTTTCCTTTGGCAAGACTTCTTCTATATGCTTTAGTATAGTAAGTACTAGAGATGGGGGTATTTGTATTTGGATGCGAATATCCCCACACAGGTGGTGATAATGAGGGTCCAGTCTTGTTACTAGAAGCAATAAGGGCAGTCCTAAATTGCTTTTTTGCAGTGAATTTGTAGGGCAAGGTGGACAAAATGTGGCCCAGGGGCTGCTTGCAATCTTCTAAAGGCAGATGGTGGGAATGCTTCTGACTTCAACAGACTGTTTTCTGTGTTGGAGTGGGGAGAAAAAGGAAGAAAGGGTAAAATTACCACTGCTTGAAATTTCTAGAAGCAGTCATTCACCTTTCAAATAAGCTGTATTCCCCCTCCCCCAACATAGTATTTAATACCGAAAAAAAATCCAGTTTTGTAAAACGAGAAGTGGACTTCCAGCATCTTTCAGTTTCATTTCTTCCCCACACTTTCCCCTCACTAACAAGGTTCATGTGGCAGCTGGAGGATGTCGGGACAGAAAACTGATTTCTGGTCCAACCGAAGTTGGCAATGCCTGCAGTCGGGAAGAATAAGCTCCAGGCCTGGTTCCTCATGATGGACAGGGAAATTGAAATGAAGTGAAAGCCATAGGTACTTTAAAGGAAAACAAACTAACAGTGTATAATCAACATTCTGGCAAAGTTGCTTAATTTTGATGCACAATTTCGTCTGAAACTAACTGAACCCAATTATTGGAAATGTGCTTCAAAGAAAGAAATATGAACTTGAACATTTATGTCTTTTAGGTTCTTGTTACCTTCTTAGCTATAATACAAGGATTGATCAAGACAATTGTGTTGCTCTGCTACCAACAGGTATGAAATAATGTTCAAACAGATTTTCAAGATTTTATAAATGTTACCATTCTAGAGTGTCAGTTATTGAATTTGGAAGGACTGGCCAGTGGTTCCTAAAAGCAGGGGGAGGTATGTGCCTGTGTGAGAAACTGAAAGATGACACTTCTGATCATGACTGCGTACCATTCACTTGCCAATCAATAATCATGTTTTCATAACAGAAAATCATGTACAAATAACATGTTACCCCATATGGACTCTTCACAGGCCATGTGTGGTGACATACTATGCATACATTTCATTTGAATATACTGTAACTTGATACACACACAAAATTGTAAGTTCTTTGATTATATATTTTTCTGTTTTTATCTATGTAAATTGTGTATATTTTAAATTGTTTGCTATTTGTATGTTGTGAGCCGCCCAGAGTAGACCATGTCTAGATGGGCGGCATATAAATGCAATAAATAAATAAATAAATAAATAAAATACACAGTAGTTGAAATTCAGTAGTAAGTGGCAATTAGAGTAGAGCCCATTTGGTGAATCAACTCTTCCAGACGTTCCATTGATTCAGTGGGACTACTCTGGTTGCCCCTTACTACTGGATTTCAGCCATAGTTTTCTTTTCAAGGATTTAAAGAATCAGAAATAAAATCTTACGTGTACAATCCTAGGCACAGTTGTTCACTAGCAGGTAGAAGCAGGCCTGATCCAGGTGACTATGAACTAGTAAAAAAAATTACTTATAAGCCACTATTGCATAGCTGTTCTTTTGTCACATTAAAATAATTTTGTGAGGGGTTGTTTTCCCTAAATTTTAAAGACCAGGATAGACTTCTAGAACAATTATACATTGAAACAGAAGGTGCGGAAAGAAAATCATGTACTTTTTTGTACCTGGTCCTCAAATTGTTTGACCTTGGGCAAGTGCTGCCTAAAAGATCTTTAGCATTGCCATTTTTAAAAACTGTCTCTCCTGAAATTTACATTCAAATGTACAGAAAGAGTAATTCTGAATATGAGACCATTAATTTTGCAGTGATTTGTTCTTATAAGGAGAGTATATCGGTGCTTGAAGATTGAAACTGCTACATCCACTCACTAGAAGACAGTTAAGCTGGAAATGAGTCAAAGTGATTTTTATGTTACATGTGCTTAGAATTGAGAGCCTGCAACCTTGTCCTGACATCAGATGTTATGGACTTGTGAAAGAAATGAACTTCCTGATTGCTGTATATAGACTGAAATCAAGGCACTTTATTATCGGAATGGATGTGCCTGATCCTTGTATGGATAGTAATTTATTTGTAACCTTCCTATAATATTAATAGTTTGTTTTGTGGCTGTATTATCTTCAATACAATCAAAAGACAGATTTCTGAAAATACGGTTATTTCAATTTATTTTTTGTTCATAGGCAGACTAATTTTATCAGTCGACAAAGACACCTATGAAGAGCTTGGACTCCAAGGCCAACCTTCTCTGTATTCTGGCAAGAAACCAATGAGATATAGTGAGTATTTGCACAAATGGCAAGTGTACCAATACCCATTTACTTGATAATTTCCCACTTCCAGCCTGTTCCTTGAATTTCTTTCAAACCCAGGATCTCTCTCTGCATTTTGGAGATTTAGGATATATTCAGCTTGAATTAAGTAGTTTAGCTCCTAAACATGAAGATGGTTGCTCCAGTTTGCAAATGGAATTCTGTTCATGGAGCTATTTCACGGTGCTTATCCAGTCCCAATTGAACTGGTTGGGTATATTTGTTTACATAGTTGGATACCCCACCTGTTGAGACCAGTAGGTGGTATGTAGAACTAGAGCTGAACTGAGGTTATTATTAGTTATCAGATGTTTCCTGTACTCATCCATGGTGCTGGTTTTGTCTTTAATGGCATAGATAGCATAGGTGGCAAGTATCTCAAGAATCCTGTGTATGAGCCTCTAGATATTTCAGATCTTGTAGTAATGCTTTGTTTCAAGGGTCTTCTATTAGGGAGGCAAGATGATCATACAGTATACTAGGAATATAAGAGTAGCAGCTCTTTTGTAATGATCTCCTCTAGGGAGGTGTATATGGGTTCTTCTTTTGGAATCAGGTGAAAGTACCATTCTGGGAAATAGAAGCCATTGTGGTTCACATGTTTGTTCAGTTATTTTGTTATGGATTGTACTGGTTGTTTTTATTTGTATTTTAAATTACTATAGATTGCTTTGCTCTGAACAGCTTTATATTGCATGCTGTAAATATGATAACTAATAAACATTCTAGATACAATTAACAGTTTTATAATTGTGTGTAACACTTTATTTGTCTTATAAAAAGAGGGAACTATTATCCAGGGAAGGTTTATTGACAGTATGTTTACATTAAATTGTGTCTTTCTCCCCTTTTAAATAGTCATTACTGTGGACTTGACTGATTCAGCTTTCACTCCTGATAGCAAGAAATATAACAGAGTGATCTGGGCCTTGAAAGACAAAAAGCCCCTGGAATTTGATTTCTTACTGGCTTGGCACTACTCAGGTAATGGCGGGCTTTCTGTGAAAGGAAGCTTCAGAGAATGTGAAATCAGATAGCATTCTTTTCTAAGGAGCAGTGTTGCGTTTTTCACTTGTGGCAACAGGTATACACATAGTTAATGTCTATGGAAACCTGATATTAGAAAAGATGGTGTATTTGAGGAGGAGAGGCACTTGTTTGGCAGGACTCCAGAATCTTATCCGAGACACTCACAATTTCCTCTTGGAAACACTGTTACAGTACTTTTAAGAATAGGTAGGAGTACTTCTTGGGGCAAGAGCGTACACTGCTATCTCTTTAAAAGAAGCATTAGAAGCGGAACTATATACAGTGGTGCCTCGCTTAGCGATCGCTCCATTGAGCGATGAAATCGCTTAGCGACGGAGTTTAAGCAATCACAAAAGCGATCGCTTAGCGATGGTCCCTATGGGGAAAATTTGCTTTGCAATGATCGCAGGGTAGCGATCATCGCAAAACCCCCATTTTCGGCCAGCTGATCGGTAGTTTCAAAATGGCCGCCAGGTAAACAGAATGGTCGCACGTTGTGTCCTCGCTTTAGAGGCACCGAAAATGGCCGCCCCTATGGAGGATCTTCGCTTTAAGGTTAGTTTTGAAGCCCATAGGAACGCATTAATGGTGTTTTAATGCGTTTCTATGGGCTTTTAAATTCCGTTTAGCGGTGAAATCGCTTAGCAACGTTTTTTCCTGCACGGATTAACGTCGCTAAGTGAGGCACCACTGTATAAGAATTTTAATATAATTTTAATATTTTTATATTATGATTTTAATATTTCCTTGTTTAATAATTTTAATAGATTTTTTAGTGGTGGTGTTAATTATTGTCTTTTTAAAAAAAAAAGATTTGTGATCCACTTTGATTCCCATTACTGGGAGAAAGATGACAGAAAAGTGCAGTAGGGAACAAATGAACAAACTGAATTCAGTAGATCTAGCAGTTTGTATTAGTAGGCAAAAATACCGATTGACTAGTTCTTGAGAACACCATATGTTAAAAGACTACAGATGTATTCTGAAAATGCACACCAATAGTATAATAGAACTTTATATAGTTTTTTGTCCTACAGATGAAGCTTTTCCTACTACTGTATTATGAGAAAATATTTTGATGAAAAAAGGAATTAAGAGTACTGTATATGCCTCTCCTGAAATGCAATTATTTAGCTGTATCCTTGTAAAGAATTTTTCCATTGTAGCCGTTTAATGTTTCTTTTCAGTAATGAGCGTTCATTAGAGACTTGAGTTTTACATAAGTCTCTTATGTTACATAAGGTCACAATTAATTTGGGGGGGGGCAATGTAAACCTGTACTGATGAAGCTGATTACATCAGCTAGCCCTCTACTACTAAGTGGATCTTTATGTATAATTTGCTGAAAAGAAAGTAAGGACTTGGTGAACTGGGAGAAAGACAAGTTGCAGGCTTCTGTAGACAGCCCGTAAGTAGATTTCATTCCATAGCAGTTTTTCACTAGATCCACCTCAAAAGAATTGGAGTAGCTTAAAACAACATGATTTCTTCTTGAGGCTATTATTTTAATGAGTGTTTGTATATTTGTTTTTCAGGATCAGAAGAATTAAGTTTGATGTCCTACTTTTCAAAATACGAGATACAAGCCCACCAGCCAAAAGTAACATTCAACACATTAAGAAATGTGCAATGTCCAGTCTTGGAGAATAATAAATTGCAAGGAGAGCCTGAAGTAGCATGTAGTGCACAGGAATTCTTTGAATGGTTGGGTGCCATTTTCAATAATGTTAGTCTGTAAGTATCTGTTTCTTATTTAAATGAGAATTTTTAGTAGTAGCAATTAAAATTAGGCCAATTATGGTTCTAAAGGAGTAATCTTACGTAGTTTTATCTGACCGAATTTGATAGGTATCGTTATCTGATGCATTTGTATTCATCTGTTATTTTGACTCAGATGCGTTGATTCTGTATCTTTGTAGATTTTATACTTACTTTGCTATGGCATATGGCTAATGCAAATAAATGTTGATTGATTGGTTGATATATATCCCAGATTTCTTCAAAAGAAATTAAGAATGTATATAGTCTGCTTTCACAAGGCAACTTATAAAAGTAAATTTTTCACTAGGTTGTATAAATCCTGCGTAACCAAGCAATCTAGTTACTTTGTCAGTATTTCTAAATAAGATTATATGGAGCAGTAAGAATAACTTCTTAACTGTTAGAGCAGTATGACAATGGAACCAATTACTTTGGGATGTGGTAAGCACGCCAGTGCTGGAGTAATTCAAGAGAAGATTAGACAACAATCTGTCAGGTATACTTTGATTTAGATTCTTCCATTGAGCAGGGGGTTGGATTTCATAGCCTTATAGGCCCCTTCCAACTCCACGATTCTCTGAATATTAAATTTCTGAGTAATAATCAATGCCTGTTTCAATGTATCCTTTCTTTGCAGGGAAAATACATCCTCTAGTTTCGTATCAACCTATTCTTGCCCTCAGCCAGGCACACTGGTAGATCCAGCTTTGACGTGTACGATAACTGGTTTTATAATTCCAGAGAGGATCATTGATTTATTGGAACAATTGTGGTAAGCAATTAGTTGTACATTCTGGTCCACTTAGCATTTTACAGCAACATGTAGAAGTTGTAGAGATTAAAATTCCAGTCCTAAACACATACAGCAGTACATCCACTGAACACAGCAGAACCTGCTTCTGAGTAAACATACATAGGATTTGACTGGCATTTATCACACTTGTATCCCATGTTTCTTTCCGTAATCTCAGTTGCTTTTGTGACTCTTCACTGTTTCCCATTTAGTTGTCACAACAATTTATAAAGTAGGTTCAGCTAGAAGATGAAGTTTACCCCAAGATCACCCAGCAGGATTCCTGACTAAACAGTAATTTGACGCCCATCCACCCAAGTACTAGCCAAATATTTGTTTCAGATTACTTTTCTGGTTTTGAAGTGCATTTCCAATTCTTCCAGCAAATTTTTGAAAAATTCTCTGTGGTGATATTTTTATGTTTTATCTTCCCTGTAGTATATATTAACCTCTTTTGTACAGAGGTTTAATATTGGTGTAGATTGCATAATTGAACATAACAAAAATAAATCAGAAAGGTTATTGATTATGCACTTAATTTTTCTGCTGAAATCAGTGGGACTTAAAAGTGCTTTAATTTGGCAGTATTATTCCTGCTATATTTCATTTACCAGAATCAGGACACTTTATTTTCCAATTATTTTCTTGATTTGTCCATACTGAGATAAGTTATCTTGGAATTTTTTCAGATTTGTATAACTGTACTCAAGGTTTCACACACATCTATGGTTGACTAGAATATATAAACAGCTATGTTTTAAAACAGGAAAATAATGGTGTCCTGCTTCCTTTTTAAAAATTAAGTCCCTATTGCAATAACAAAATGGAGCTACAGTATACTGTTAATTAAGGAAGGTATGAGATCCTTCATATTTCAGATAACATAAATGTATAGCCTTTGCAATTTCATTCTTTTTAAAAAGCATCCAATATTTATTGACAAGAAAACCATATTTTTCATACATGACAAGCAAAAAGCAAATTTCCAGACATTTGCTACCTTTGGTATTGGTTTGCATACTGATAAAGTGACAGAAGCTGTCCTTGTAGTCCTGCTGTGGCATGACTGAGGAGCATATACGAGTTGCAAGTAGATTATTTTTCCACACTGATCTCATAGGACCTAAGTGCAAACCATGTACCTATGACTTTGACAGCAATCTGATGCACAGAATCCTATCAGCCAGGCTTCTACTTTAGTAAATATGTATGGGATCAGGCAGTTTTAAAAAAATAATTTTCATTTAACTATTGTTTCAAAGTTTTGTACTGTTTGTTGCATTTATTTCTCTGTCTCTTTCAACAGTTCTTATTTTAAAGAACCCAAGTTGGCTCCCTGGGCGACTCTGGTTGTGCATGGCTTCGCTGACAGCCCCGTTTCCTGGAGAGAAAGTGAACATAGTTTCCTCAAAGGAGGAGAGAATTTATACACCTTCGTAATTTTTAGGAATCTGGATTACTGGCTTCAGATGGCAGTAGGAGCCTATGATGATTGTCCTTAGATTATGGCCATTGTGAACCTTCGAAGATGTTGCATGAAATTGCGGGCCGGGAAGGGTTTGATATTTATTACCTGTCAAAAAGTAACTTACAAAAGGAAAATATATTTTATCATAATTTTTCAGAATCTGGTTTGAAGTGTATGTGTGCTATTTCATCTTTTTATACTTTACATTTGAGCTTGTGGTTCTCATCCTCAAAACAGCATGCGGGAAGACAGAATACGAAAAAGACTACGAGGGTACTATTGAAGATCTTTGAGTTGCGATGGAGGGCTCCATGAAGATATTGATCCATTGTGCAGTGATTGTGAAAAAAGGAAAGAAAGAAAAAAAGGCAAATTCCATGTGTGGAACATTTAGAAAAAATACAGCTAGCCATTATTCCATCGCTGTTGTACAACTGAACGATGCAGCCACATCTGGCATCCTGTGTCCTCTTCTACAGGGCAGTGCAGACATGCAGAAAAGGGCAAGCAAAATAATCAGGAGCAACCTCCTTGTGAGGAAAGGTTATGGGGAAAAATTATGAGTAGAGAAAGCTATATGAAAGGTGTCTAAAATTATACATGGTGGGGAAAAAGGGGACAAGTTTTCAATCCTATTTCCTAATACAGGTCAGCCACTGAAGCTGATTGGTGGAACATTCAAGACAGATGAAAGGAAGTACTTATTTAAACCGTGTGTAATTAAACTGTGGAATTCACAACCACAACTGTTTCTGCCATCTTGAAGGAGGATTGGATAAACTCATAGAGGTTAAGTCTATAAATGATTGCTAGTAGCAGTGGATATACATCACTTCTGGTGCTGGAAGCCTCTATATACCTACTGCCTGGTACTTTGTGTGGAAAAAGAGTTTTGTTATACTCTTATTCTGCTGGTGAGTTTCCCAGAAACATCTGGCTGGCCGCGGCACAAACAAAATGCTGGACTAGATAGGGCTCCAGTCTGAACTACAGATTTCTTATGCTGTTGAAATATGAAAAGGGGGTGCTGTGATATCTGCATCGTTGTGTAGTTTTCATTAAACTATTGATGAGCATTCATCCTGGGCATGAAAATTCCACATACAGTGTAGCATCAATTTTCTGAGTCTCTGTGATTGTAATCCAAACAGAAGTAATCCAAACAGCACATAGTAAAAGCCAGACTTTTTTGGGGAGGGGAGCAACACCTTGGGAATCCATATGGGGCAAACCATGAAACAAGCCAGGATTTGCAATCAGTTTCCAAACCTGGTTTAATATTCATCGGTTGATAATCTGAAACTGGTGATTGGAGTCATATGAAAAAGGAACTAGAATTAATTGGAGGCTTCCTGATTTGATTTCTCACACCACAAAAGGGAGATGAGAACAGATTGCATGTGTACACAAAAGATTTGGCCATATTTTATCTTGTTGAGGTAAGAACCCACTGACCAATATGGGCCATTGTTGCTTAACAAAGAGTTCCTCTGCCTTTTGGTAAGCAATAATTCTTTGCTTTTATTGAAGAGCAAATTACCAAATCTACAGAAGATTCAGACTTTGGATAGTCTTACCATAAGGATCAACCATGCCTTGGATTTACTGTACACATTATAGAGGCTGTATATCTGTAGAACTAGTTTCCTGACTCTGTTAAAGACATTGATCTCTCTCTTTTTAAAGTCCCTTGTACAGCCTGTGTCTTCTGTCTTTTTTGATGAGGGTGGAGATGAAAGGGAGGAGAAGGGATTATACAGTGGTGCCTCGCTTAACGAGCGCACCGTTTAACGACGAATCCGCATAGCGACATGTTTTTTGCGATCGCATTGTGATGTTTTAGATAGGGAAAACATTGCATTGCGATGATCGGTAAGCGTTTCACTTACCGATCTTCGCATTGCGATGTTTTACAAACAGCTGATCGGCGGGTCCAAAATGGCCGCCGGGTCAACAAAATGGGCCCCCGCAGTGTTTTTGCGCCCTGCCCTCGCTTACCGGGCGGCGAAAATGGCAGCCGGATGGAGGATTCCCCGCATAGCAGTGATTTTCCCCCCAATAGGAACGCATTAAACCGAGTTTAATGTGTTCTTATGGGTTCCCCCCCCCTGCATAGCAACGAATCTGGATAGCAACGTTAATCCTGGAACGGATTAACATCGCTATGCGGGGCACCACTGTATATTATGTGTAACTCAAAATTACTGGTAATGAAAATGGCGTAGACAGAAATGGCAGATGGCCATATGATGTGTATGCCGCTTGTGTTACAGAAACAGTTTTATAATTTCAAGTCATCAATTCAAAAAGGTTACAGTAGGGACTGTAGGCACACATGTGAGAGCAAGAGCTGATGTTTAGTTTTAACTTGGATTGAAACAGTTCTTACATGACGTCTGCCCATTCAGGTGCTGAACTGGAGTGCTTACAGGCTTGTGGCAGGAGTGAGAATTAACAGTTACCACAGGCAAGTTGGTGTTTCTCTTCCAAAATATCTTACTACCCTCAAACTAGTAGATCAAACAGCTGGCAACTTTCATAATATTTCAGCATTCTGAGTCACTGATAGGGTCATACCTGGGAAATACACTCAGTAGGGTCCATGAAGCATGTGACTTCACTTTGCACAAAAATGGATGTTATAAAGAGCTCACAACTACAACTGAAAGTGTTTTAACGATAGGGAGATGTTAATTGAGGCAGGTAGTCATTCCTGTTTAAGAAATCAGACTTCAAAGGATTCCTGTGCTTAAGTCTTGATGACCAGTCTCAAAGCAAAACAAGTGAATTTTTGCATACTCTAGCAGATGCTGCAGTGGTGCACACTATTTTTATTCCATTGTTTTATTTAAAATATTTTTATTCTGCCTCTCTCCATAAAAAAGACCCAAGGCAGCTGACAATTAACAAGACAATATTTAAAAGCTAAAAAAATTAAGTATACTGTATAAATATTTTAAAATAATATTGGTGCCTTGGGTCCTTTTGGGGATAAAGATGGAATATATATTTAATAATGTGTGTGTGTGTGTGTAAAAGCAAGTATTATATTAAAAGTTAAAATTAATACCAAAACATTTAAAACAGTAGAACACAACAATCCAATTTTAAAAAATTCCTCAGACAACCAATCATTAAGGAAAAGTCTGCCTGAAGAGAAAGGTTTTTGCTAGTTCCGGAAGGACACCAAAGACGGGGCCAGCCTATTAGCCATTCCGAATGTTTCTCTTCTAATCATAAACATTCTATAACATCTATTTCTGTCCTTGGACATGATTGTTGGCTAATGACTTCTGCACAGACTAAATCTATGATGTAAATGCAACAAAGAAACCTATCTAGCAACATGATCAGCTGGGCAATAACATCAAAGTGGCTGCAGTTGCTTGCTTTAAGAACAGCTTTTCCCCCTAAATTGCTTCATTGAGATCTTGAGCCTTGCTTGCCCAGTCAAGTTGAAAGCCAGACAGGAAGGAAGTGAGCTCAGCTGTGGTGGGAAAAGGGAAGATGTAGGAAAGTTAAAATAGTAAAGTGACACACTAGCAATCCCAGATGCATCGTCGCTCTTCAAAGACAGTAGCATTTCTGTGGAAAAGCAGATGATGTTTGAAAAACCCTCCCCCTGCATTTGATTCTTTGAATTGTTTCCTCATGTGACTCTAATTAAGCTATTTGCCTTTGAGATGTGCAGGTGATGACATAGTACTTAAGTTTGAGCCAGTTTATGTCTCGTTTACTAAGTAGAATCCACAGGTGGACCATACCTTTGTTTGACCTACTATAATTCCATAAAAATATGCAAGTTTTATCTTCTTCAAAATTTCTCATTGGGCTCGATCACCTAAAGAAGTACCAGCATTCGGGTAGATGCTGTGACCGTGGGAGTCTGTAATTAAAAACTCAGTCTCAAGACGAGAGTTCTCAGATGGAATGAGCCCCTCTTACCTGTGCAGGTATGAGATTACACTGAGCAATGCAGATTTAGAAATGGTGGTGTCTATTCCTGGAAAAAAAAACAGGCTGGCTACAATTCGGAGATCTGTGTCTGCCTTCAGCAAAACACACTCAGGTTCCTGAAATAGCACAGAACGAAAGAACAGAGAAAGAAAGTTCTTACAAGAGTAAGATGTGCAAGAATCAGGTACGTGCCGCTTCTAATATCAGATATAAAATTGTTAGTTTGAACCAGAGTCTTTTCACATAACTTCCTGGACAAGACCTTTTGCTTGCTTTTTTTTCCTCTTGGGAAAAACATTTTGCAAAGGGCCTGTGTGCATATGATAGTTATGTACGCGGGCACAAGTTCACATTAAATCGTGTGGCGGGTGTGTAGAGTCCTGAAACATGTCTGTTTTGTTAGTTACCTGTGGATTAAAAGGCACTTATCTTAAACAACATAGAGTCTTGTTGCACTTTGGCAGCTGCCAGGTTTTGCTGCAGCCCTCTGTGAACATCCGTTTGACTTTCTGGAGGCTTCCCAGTCAATCAAGACTCAGTAAGAGAGTGACTAATCCAGACAGAGTGGGAGAATGGAAAGGGCAGGGGGAGGACAAGTTAATTGTTGGAGGGGGCTTTGCTATAAAAGGAGTTATAAAGGATTAGGCAGGTGGAGGTCTCAGCGGAATCAAACAACAGAAAAGGGCTAGAAACGTTAAAGAGCAAGCAAACTGCTCATTTTAGAAAGAAGCCTTCACGAACCGTTTGCTGGCAGAAAGCCTGGTCGGGGTATCAGTCCGGAGGTTGCGACACTGAGTCCTTGTAACAGTTGTGCGTAGACTGCTGTGCCTTGAACTACAGCAGCTGTTCAACTTCATCGAGTCATGGTAAGGTTGCTCTTCTACTTCCAAGTGTCTCTGCAAGTTGCGTTCCTTTTCCAGGTTTGGAGACAGTCCGTGTATAGAGTCCAAAGGTTTTAAAGCTTATCAATACTAGCTTGAATATTATAGTATATAAATTCTTAACCTGTGGTCCACAGAGCCCCAGCAGGCCACAGTGTCCTCACAGGGGTTCACAAAGGCTTGAAGAAATATTATGATATATATATATATATATGCAGTTAAGAAACAAACAAAGAAAAGGAAACAGAACAAAACCTTAATTTTCGTTTCTTTGTGTAAAACTAGGCTTTTCTAACCTATCGCCTCCACTAAAAACAAACA